GGCTGTGCCCACTGCCCTGGGGAGCCTGTTCAGTGCCCAACCAGCCTGTGGGGGAAGAACCTTTTGCTGAGATCCACCCTGAGCCTGCCCTGACACAGCTCCAGCCATTCCCTGGGGGCTGTCCCTGCTCCCCCCAGAGCAGAGCTCAGTCCTGCCCCTCCTCTGCCCCTGCCCAGGCAGTTGGAACTGTTAAAGACTTTTGTAGACTATTAAATTTACTTCATCTCCACCCAGGAGTTTTCTCACATTTAAACCTCTGATATTCTCCCCCAACCTGCAGGTGGGGCAGTGAAGTGGCTACATGGGGTTTATTTGCCAGGGGAAATACTGATTTTGAGGTCCTTTCACTCCTCACAGACCACAGCCTGTATTGATTTCAGCTCTTAGTAAGGCAATAACAGGAATGTCGTGAGATTGGCTCACTATAAATGGCTTAATTTGTTGATAATCTTTATGAAAGAGAGAGAGCCCCATTTCCTGTGCTGTTCATTACAACTTGGGGGTGCTTGCCAAATAATTGCTTTCTTTTTTGTTTATGTTTACGTCACCCATGTATTGACTCTTGAATTACAACCACCATGTCACCAAACCCAGCTCTTGCTCTTTCCTCTCCCTGGCACACTGATTCCCTACACTCTGCTGTTCCAGGAATTTCCTCCCAGTGGAGCAGAACAAACCCCAGCAGAGATTTCTTTCCCAGCTATGCCCAAGGTGTGACTGTGAGGGGAGGAACAGCTTCCCCTCCTCTTGAGCACCAGCATGGGATCCCCTGTCCTGTGAGCCCCCCCATCCTTTGGGATCCCCCATCCCACAGCATCGTTTTTTCCCAGTTCTAAGGAATTCCAAGGCACTTTCTCACAGAATTTAGCAATAGAGAAAATTTCCTCCTGGCAGTGCAATAACCATCTCAATAAACTCTTGTGTTCCTATTGCTTATGTGCATCTCTGCACTCCTAGAACAGGGTGATTGTCTGCCAGAAAGTCCATAGCCCCAAGTGAGCACAGAGCTGGAGTGCCACTGCTCTGAGAACATTATTTCCCTGCTGAAGACTCCAATCCATGTCTAATAGACTGGCTGAAGGATTAGGGAGTGCATCATATTCATCAAGGGGATGGAAACAATTGATTAGATATTATCCAGTAAACAGAGACTGTATCACCATCAAAACTATGTCCCTACTCCTCTCTATGCTTGTGTGGCAAGGACCCTGGGGTAACACAGATTTCTCAGCCAGAACCTGTATCTGATCTCCATTTTCATGGAGGTTTGGACATGCTGCAATAAACCCAGTCCTATGTATGGAATTTGTGCTTTGTGCCAGAGCAGCAGCATTAATTGACTGCTTGCATGAAGTGTGTGAAATTAAGTGCCACACATTTATCTGATGGGCTGGTGCAGAATCAGTTCATCTTCTCCCTGCCTGTTCCATCCAGTCAGTCAGGAACAGGCTGTAATGCTTTTGGCAAATGAGAAGTCACCTTGAAATCCACTGCCCATCATTCAGCAACACAAGTGATAAACTGAAATGACCAAAGCTAATTTCAGATGTCTTTTGCATAATGTAGTTTGAGGGGGAGATCAGAGAACTGAGGGACTCCACTAAGGAGAAATATCTTGTGCAATTTATATTCAGTTCAGCCAAAGTTTCTCAGCAGTTTTTAACCCCTGCAATATATTTGAGCCATGATTTTTTCTGCTCTCTCCCCTCTTTGTTTGTGCTGTTTGTTGGCACCTATGGAGGATGCAGGACACAATCAATTATCAGGGCATAAATAAAAAGGTCTCCCAATCCCTGATAGGCAGCTGGGGTTGTGCTCTGCTGTGTTTCCAGCACTCCCACTCGTTCCAGTCCAGTTCTACACTCTTGGTAACTGGAGATGACCCCTGGGAAATGAACTGTGGTTACTGGGATTACCTTATTAGTCCCCATTTTGCTCACCCCCACCCTGCAGCCATGGGCCCCTTCATGGCCCTCTGAGCCACCATCCACTGTCAGAACTGTTTGCACGGGCATTTGCAGGGGAACACAGACCAGATAAATCTCCCCCTGCACATGCAACAGGGATGGGAACATCACCCAGGCAATGCCATTTCTCTTGGGTTCTAAATTCTCTTTGCTGGAAAGAACCACACCTTTTTACAGTCAGTGCAACATCTTAAAATTCTGCTGATGTCTCTGATTAATTCAGCAGGAGAGGGCTCAGCTCTGCAGCACTTCCTCATCTCCCGAGCAGCAGTGGTGACACAGCTCTCTGGCAGGGCTGGTACTGGCACAGCACAGCCCAGAATTCACCCCAGAACTGGACTGTGAGCTCAGGAAGGGAACAGGGAACTTTGG